AACTGAAACCTGAAGACAGAATCAATAACCAGATTAAGGGGTAGGTGCAGGAAAAAGCTTTTAGGCAGAAATGAAAGAATGGATGATGTGATGAATGCCCAAGAGTTATTCAGAGAACTAGGAACCTTTGCTTGCCTGAAGAGAAAGCAATGATGAGAAAGGAAAATACTCAGTAGTTAAGTTGCTCAAGAGAATGTGATAGCAATTAGGTGACGCCAGTTGGGCCCAGATCTTACACAGAGTAAAGACTCTGAACCTCACCGTAAGAACAAAGGTGACCTCCTCAAGAGACAGTAAGGTGATGTGACTAGAATGCATGTTTTAGAAAAATCTGACCAACAGATGCAGGCAAAATTGAAGACAGGAAGAGGACTGTAGGAATTCGGGGTAGGATAATGGTCCGAAGTTTTCACCTCCCCTTTGTAAAGACTTTTTCTTTGGATTTTTCTCCTACTGGTGTGAGGGCCCTGTAGGGCTCACTCCTTAGATCTTTTTCTTTATTCACACTCATTATCCAGTGATCTCATCTAACCTAATAGTTTTAAATATCATCCGGATGCTGACAAGCTCCAAATTTATGTCACCAGCCAGTCTAGTCCTCTGCCCTCCAGGGTCATATATTCAACTGCCTATTCCACCTTTCCATTTGGAGATTTAACAGTCATCTCAAACTGAACTCTTGCTTCTTCCTCAGATTTGCTATCTCAGGTTTTCCCTCTGGAGCGCTATGCTTCCCGTTACACAGCCAAATATTTGGTGTCATCTGTAACTTGTTTTTTTTGGTCTCATAGTTGACACCCAGTCCATTAGCAAATCCTTTGTGCCGTTAGATATCAGACATTGTTTATTACAATTCTTACTATTACTATTCATCCCAACCTAAGGTTATTTATAACCTGGATGATTCTAGCAGCCTAGATATTGTACCAGATTATTGTCCTAATAGGTGACTGTCACAGATCCCCTTGCTTCTGCATTGGTCTTCTACAGGTTTAATTTTAGAAAATATTAGATCCTGTCTCTCTGAATAAAGACCTCGAAATCTCCCCCTCTTTCTCAGAGGAAAGACCAAAGCTTCAGCCTGGTCTGTGACACCCCATGGTGCATACATTTCACCCACTTCTCTGACCTTAGCTTTTACAGGTCTGCCCTTTCTCATTCTATTTCAAGTGTCTGGGCCTTCTTTAATGCTCCTCAGACTTTAAGCCAGCTCCCATGCATAATTTTTGCACCCTGCTATTTCCTTTGCCTTGAATGCTTGTTCCCCAGGCATCTAGAATGTCATTTCTTTTTTTTTAATCTCCTTTAAAATGTAATTTTACTGACCCCATCTCTGAACATCTTACAACAAGAAGTGACCCTCTCTTTAACCTTCCCTAAATCCCTAACTCTACTGTATCTCTTGACACCATGCTTTACACCATCTCTGTAGCTCAGCACTGTGTGTCTTCTGCCTTGTTTATTTATCCCACCTCCCCTCAGTGAAACCCTGAGCTGAGGAGAGCAGTAACTGTGTTTGTTAAGGTGGAGGGCTGATGCGCCAACTCACTGAACATCTTTCAATATACAGCGCGCCCTCTGTAAATAATTTGAGTGAATGCAGGGAAGGATTCAGTGCAGTGCAAATGGGGAGAAGCAGATGCACTTGAGATTTTTCTTTGGTAGAATGATCAGATTATGATGATTTACTAGGTACTGAGAAGAAGGCAGATGAAGATAGAGGTGGGTAGGAGGCTATCAAGTTTCTGACCCAAACCAACCGAGTTGATGGTACACCATTCACTGAAATAGAGAAGATGAGAGGTATAGATTAGTGACAGGGACAGCACAGGATAAATTCAATTCTGAAGTTCAGATGAAGGTTATGGGAACACTTTTAACTGAAGATGTCCTGGAGGTAGAGAACTCTGGAACTATTAATTGGATTCATGTGGAGCTTTCATCTCTGTTAGGTACAGAACAATCACATGGGGAGAAGATGAGGGGAGAACACATAGAGCTGAGTTATTTTTAAGAGAAAAGCTAACTCCTGTTAGTTCTGCCCTCAGGTGAACACGGCCAACCAGCCACCCTTCAAGAACTCCTGGTCCATCAGGAAACCACATTCTCCAAGCTGCCAAGTCTCACTGTCTAATCGGATCCATGTTTCAGCCTGATTCTGGGGGTTCCTGCTTGCCATTCACAACCTACTATATTTTATTGCACCTCCTGACATTGTTACACAACATTTATTGAAAGCACATTTGATGGTAATGAAGTTTCTATTAACTATGATTAAATCTCATAAAGCACCTGAAGATAATTTAAGATGTGCAGAAGCAGAAAATGAAACATTCGGTTTAGTACATTAGGAAACCTAACTGATTAAATTATCTCATTTACAATAAGTGCTTTCATGAGCTATGCAGTGCACATATTTCCCCTGGTTTGTCATTATGATTTGGCAACAGATACCTTAAGACTTCACTTTCCGTTTCGCACCTTCCTACAACTCCGAGATGGGTCCGCTGCCCACCTGGCTCTGAAGACAGTGTGTAATGATCTGGGCAATGTTTCTCATCCACCAGGTTTGGTGAGGATCATGTGTGCAGCTATATATAGGAGCAGGTTGTTTCTCAATTATCTTCATAATTGACTTTGATTTTGCATCAGTGATGATTCATGTAGTCTTAAACTAAGCCCCACTTTGACAGAACCCAGCAGCCTGAATTTGTATAATGCACTCCTAACTATGCAGCTTACAGAATCCCGATTGGATTCCTCTGGGAGCCTTTTGCAATCACATTGATTCTGTTAAGGTTTTATTTTTAGGGAAATCACAAATTAAAATGGTTTAAGCGATTCCGTTGCAGTATCCAGCAATTAAGCATGGTGCTCAGGAGCAGGAACCCCAAGTAAAAACTAATTCAAGAGTCCCCAAGGACATGAAATAGCTTCAGTGGGGTTTATGGCTGGAAGTACAGATGTAACCGAATTAGAATGGCACAGGACTCACAAACTAAGCATGAAATTAATTTTAAAAACACACACGTGCATTTGTAAGTAACTCCCACACTCTCCGCCAAATGGCCACCCATGATCTTGCTTTTGCTATGGATATGGGACTGTGAGGAGCCAAGTGCCCACACTTCCCTCACCCAGGGGACACATGCACAGGCCAAATGCTCAGCGACCAGTTTTTCTTCTTTCCTCAGCACACACACACACACACACACACACACACACACACACACACATATGCACACCCAAACACACACATGCACAGCCAGGTTTCCCCAGCCTCCATCTTACTAAGAGTTCAAAATCAACCATCTGGCCCTTAGGGATCAGAGTCCTTTAAAAGCAGCTGACAGAGAGAGAGAAGAAAGTTCGTTTTCGTTGTTTTACAAAATTCTCAGACTGCGCAAGTAATGGCATCATTGTATCTCCAGCATGTCTGAGGCAACAGAGGGCAGGTGAACGCCATGGATTTTCTGAGTGTTTTTCACATGTCTCCTAATACCTGCCCCAAGACGCCAATTTCTCTCTTTCCTCACATGGTCTTAATTCTTTCAAAGAAGTTAGCTAATAAATGCTATTAACTCTCCCAAGCTCTTTGCATTTTAATGCTCTTGGATTTAAAAGATCAAAAGTCATCCATTTTATCCTAAAATGAGGGAAACTGGGCAAGGACATCTATCACAAGCTTTACATACCAAACCAGCTGAGCAGCCATCTAACTTTTCCAGTGATAGAGCTGGGCTGCTGATGCCTCACATTCTGGGGTACCTTATATCTGAGTGTCTATTAACAGACAGACCCTTAGCAACAACCCCACTGGGGACTCTAATTCAGCTGTTCTGTTCTGTGGTAGGGCATATTTAATGAGCTCACACCACATCCCAAGATTTTGCTACATGTCGTTTCTGGTCCACTTTCTTTTTTTTCTGCGGCTGGGATTGAACCTCGGAATATTGCACTGAGCTACACTCGTGTGTGTGTGTGTGTGTGTGTGTGTGTGTGTGTGTAAATGTTTTTTTTTTTTTTTTTTTTTTTTTTAATTTTTTCCCCTGAGACACAGTCATGCTAAATTGCCAAGTTGGCCCGCCTGGGTTTAAACTTGGATCTGCCTGCCTCGGCCTCCCAGACTGCTAGGATGATAGGCATACATCATTATGTCTGACTTCTGGTCTACTTTTTGAAGGAAACCTTTCTAAGACAGTGGCTTTAGGCTTAAGTACAACATTAGACTTATCTGGGCAGCTTTGAAAAAGTAGGGATTCCTGAGTTCTAGTACCTTCACTGCAAATTCTGATTTTACTGACAGTTTGGGATTTGGGTTTTTAAAAATGCTTCCAGGTGATTCTAAAGTAGTCAAAACTGACGATGGCAGGGTCAAATGTCCGGCTGCTAACTATTTAAGTTGTGTTGCTTTCTTCAAATCTACTGGACTCAAAAATGGAAAGAATGCCAAGGCCTCTTCAGTAAGCAAGCCGGTATCTAGGGAACACAAGTTAGTACCAACAGCAATCTTACACACCCAACAACCTCACTGTGGAATTCCAGCTTCCTGGTCTACCCAGCCGCCATGGCAGCCCTGGTTCTGGTTTCCTCCACGGCTTTGCAGCCTCCTCTGCCTCTTGCTGCTCCTGCTCCCTGGAGTCTCGTGGAGTCAGGCTTTTGCCCAAAGCCCGCTGTCATGAAAATGTGTGCTGACAAACATTTATTAATTTTAATGCTATAAATTTCCAGAAATAATTCTAGATGACATTTGCAGAGCAGTGGACTCGTAGGCAGAAAGAATCAAGGAGAGAGATTTACTTTTGCACTGAGGGAAGGGAGAGGTGTGCATATTTCTTTTTGATTTAAACCTCTGATAGGCAACTCCAAAGTGAATGAGAAGCTCCCAGATCACTGGCTCTTTCCTAGGAATTTCAATTCTGCTTCGTTCCTAAACAAATACAACCGTAAGGCAGCAAATATGAGAATAAATTATATTCACAAGAGGAAAAATAACTTACTTTGGGGTTTTATTTCATGAAGAGGTTTTTTATCTAAAAGAAAGAAAGAGAAAAAGAAAGTTGCATTTAATAAATTTACATGGAGCAGATATATTTCCTATATCACTTTATATCTACTTCTATAAATGTTACATTTTTCTACTTTTTTGCAGATAATATGGATTCTGCTGTCTGTATTTTTTTCTCATTCTAATATTTTATTTCCTTTTTAAAAATGCTTTTCTAGGATGATTATTTAAAAAAAAATTATTTTCCCTCAGGTTCACTGGCGTTTTTCTCTGTGGCCTGTGCAAGATTCTTATCAGCATGATGAGAATGGTGAGCTTGCTCCTGTTCCTTTTTTATATACAGCAAGAATTCTGCCAAGGTAAGATATGCAGTTTCACTGTATATGACAATAGCAAAAGCAAGCAGTGAATAAATATTTAAAGGGAGCCTGCAATGGTTTGCAGCAATCACGGATGGAGACAGAGCTGCAAAGTCTGCCTCCATATCTATTCTCCTGGGCTCTGGGTGCTGCTGGGGCGGTATTTTTAAGAAATCATTGTGTTTCATGTCTTCATTATCTGTTAAAATGTGTACCATCTCCCTCAGTAGAAAATGAGTCATTTTATTACCACAGTGCATAACACAGCCCTCCAAAATTGGGTTCAGGAAGAGAAGACACTGGGCAGGACTCAGAGTCAGGCCTCGACACAGTCATTTTTCCCCAGTGGCCTCCATTCTCCTGTCTCATCTCCCCACACTAATAATTGAATCTGGCAGACTGATTCCATGGAGACATGGTCCTGTGGCTTACTTGGTTTTATAGCACAGCACCTCTGCTCCCCCGCACTCTTTGGTCCCACATTACGTTAACACAAAAACACCACACTGCAGAAACCACGACACTTTTGATGCCACACTGACATTCCAGAGGATGGCGTGGCATTTGTCCCCGCTCTCGTCCCTTTCTACGATTTAGATGCAACACTGGACAGCTGCAAGGACTGAGGCTGTTGTTGATGAGACAATGGCAGAGAACACTGCAAGGTTACCTTTCAAGGACCCCCTGGCTCTGTGTGCCTGAAAGTGGGCTTCCTGAGTGAGACTGTCATTTTAGACTATGTTTTTAACCCAGTCAACTCTAGCACACCACCCACTGAGGGCTTCACAAACACTGCCCGGCTGACTGCACTGGAACTCTCACAGGAAGATAACATATATGCGGTGTCCACCATGACATTTTTGTACCTTAACCTATGCTTATATTTAATGCTAATTTTGACAGGAAAACTCTCACAGTATGTAAATGCGGTGTTTTAAATACAGCTGTTGTGTGTTTTGCCATCTAATTAGAGTTATGGAAGTAGTTTTTACAATTTTGCATAAATCACGCATTTGCAAATGAGTCACTTTTTTTTAAGAAAAAAATGGAAGGGGAAAGTGAGATGGTGAAGGGTAATATTTGACAAATCTTTCTTTAAAATGAAAACCCCTCATTAAATAGAATAATCTGTTTAAGTTGATACCATCATGCCAGATTTTTACAGTGTCAGGTTTTAAAACCTGACCCTTGTGTCCTCCTTCTGCAGAGACTCAGCACCACAAGATTCCCCAGAGCAGGTGGCGCCTACAGCAGTCCAGATGCTAATGCACTCAAGAATTAGAATCGAATGACTTTGGTGGGTTTAACCTAATTTCAGTTTTTGCTTATTGCATGGTATCTGGAAGCAGTTGGTGTGGGCGCAGCAGTGCTGGCAGGCCACGGCTAAGACATCGGGACGTGATGCATTGCCACCACTGCACAAGAAGACGTGCTGAACATCTGTTTGGAACGCTGGCTGAGCTTCACAGTATTTTCCTCCTCCTCAACTGCAGGAAGGGAGATGATGCCAGGTAGCAAAATAAAACTGAATTTAAAGCAGGTGAAGTACATAATGACTCCCTGAAAATTTTCAAATATAGCCTGGCAAAAACAAACAGACAAAAAACAAAAAACCAAACCCCCGAAAACCAAGGTGGCAGGGTTCTGATAGGTACATCTCTAAAATAGGAGACAAGAAAGAGGGCTGAGGTGCCCTGGCCGAAAGCCCACAAAGGAACACTTGAGGGGCCACATCCCCTAGAGCATGCTTTGATGCTATGGTCACTGGCAATGAGATGACATGCATCCAGTGCTGACTCTCAGCCTAAGAAGTAAATGAAATCTCGAATTTTCCACATTCTTCCTGTGTGACCTCAGTGTTCCCTGTAAAATGGAAATAAAATGCCCTTGAAGGTTGGTACTGAGAATTAAGCATGATAAATGTAAAGCCATGCAGCACAAGACTAACACATCTGTCTTCAATAAGTGCAAGGTTAGCTAATAACACAGTTCCAGTAGCTGATAATACAATGGTGGCCATTATGAACATCATTCATCGAGTGATAGATGCCTCCTTGTGGTACTGCTTGGAGATAAGTCATAATCCCAAATCAAAAATTCTATTGAATTTTGAGATACTTAAATGAAAGTTAAACTTGTGTTTAGACTTGGCCTTTGCTTTTAGGAGAACCACGTGAATCAAAACTTTGGTTTCCTCACATGTAAAAGGAAGGGCAGGAACCAAAAAGCTGCTAGGATTCTCCTGCCTCCACCTGTTGTCAGTCTGCAGGACGGAAGCCAGACACACCTCTGACATGTCTAAATGACGCTGTAAAACAGTAAAAAAGAGCTGCTGCTCTATGCTAAGATTCTGCCTGCTGAAGTCCAGCCTGTCTTGTACATCGAGTAGCAAACTCTTACGGAAAAAGCTGGCCACCTTTGGGGCCCGAAAGAGTTTAGTGCCCTGGCACCAGCACCAAATCTGAACTTTTCTATGCAGTACTTTTGTGTACAAAGGTAACCTTGACAGCAAGCTGCAGCACAGAGCATGGTCCCAACCAGAAATGCCTGCTCTGACATATGTTTACCGTGAGCATGAGGGAGCCCACACACTGAGCGCTCTAGCTGTGTAAGAGATGCCCACGCCAGTCCACATTCTGTCTTCCTGTTTGCATAATCATTTCCTCACAAGGCTCAGGGCCACACAACAGCTTGGCCTTGGTCAACCAATTCCTCTCCACTTTAATTTTACCTCTTTTCAAAGGCCATATTCAAATGACCCCTTAATAATGAATCTATTAGGGCTGCTGTTTTTAATGCTGGCAACCCATCAGCATCACCTGGGGAGCTTTTAAAATAAATGCCCTTGCCTGGGCCCCACTCCAGGAGCTCCTGATTAATTGGGGTTTGTGTGTTTTTTGATTCTTGCCACTTCCTGGCAATGCATCTGGGACTCCCTGTGGTCCATCATAGTCTCTGCCTCTCTAAAGGGCCTGGGGGTTATCTGTGGTGCACAGGTGGGCCCAGAGGGTCCCTTTTGTATCTTGCTGGCAGACAAATGCTGCAATTTGGAGCCCGTGGCAGCTGAGCTGGGTTCTGTTTTATATACTGAGTGGTACCTTCAGGGTGAAGGAAAATTGATAAGTAATTGTAAATTGGTTGTATGGTCTTTGTGTAACTGCAAGTTAAAGATTCAAATATGGCTTTTCACAGTGTTTTAAATTGTCATATTTTCTTTTAAATCATTTTTATTATTCAGAGAGCAACTAAGCAGTTATTCTCTCCAAAATAAAAAGATATAGACAAGCACAAAGGAAAGAAAAATACCCGACACATAGTAATTCACCACAAACAGACAGCCGCTGTTAATGTTTAGTCATACATACATGTCTAGGTTTTTCCTAATAATTTATATATACAAATAGATGTACACATGATTAAGTACACATGTATATGCTGATAGAAATGTTCACATGAAACCACTTGAAATTGTCAGTTCTATGACATTTAACAACACAAACATATAATTATCTTTTGTATTAGTTCCTGAGCCTGCTTCTGTTATTTATCGCTTGATGCAAATATTCCTTTGTGTCAGCCCGTGTCTGGGAACAGGGCCACGCATGTGTATATGCGTAAAAAGGAGGGACTGTGTCACAGAGAGAGAACACAATCTACCTTTCTTTTTCCATGGTGATTCATTCTTCTCTAATTTTCTTTAAATTTTTTGGCTTCCTTTTTCTATCAACACTCCTAAATCATTTCCATGGTTTCCATTGTTCTTAGAAGCTATTTAAAACTGCATCCCTACCAACCCACCCACATCCAGCCTCTCACTATGAGAGAGCAACTGTGACTAGCAGCCCACATCCAGGGGCCCTAGAGAGCAGGCCAGGGGAGAAAGCACTGCAGACAGAAGGGCACAGAGTGAGCCAGGGACAGCGCTCAACAGCTGCTGGTTATGATTATTTGAGCACAGTATGGATATGCTTGGTGCCACCATTTGTGCAGTTTGTAAGCTTCAGTCCTAGGGTCACTAAATATCTACCAAGAAAGCAATGTTCTCCCCAGGTAGCAACCCAAACATGTCCTTACAGTCAATGTGTGGCCTTCTTCTATTTCATTAGACCTATCATTTATTTCCAGAGAAGAATTGGTTTCCTTGTAAATGTCCCTTTGGTATTTTTTTTTTGTAGGGGGAGGGGGTTGGGACAGGGTCTCACTATATGGCTCAGGCTGTCCTTGTCATTATGTAGCCCTGGCTGGCTTAAAACTCGAGGCAGTCCTTTGGCCTAGTCTCCTGAGTGCTGGAATTACAGATGTGCACCACCACACTTGGCTTTATCTTATACTTCTAAAGGACTGTAACTTATGGGCTCCTAATATATAAATCATATTTAAATTATTAGTTCATGTGATACTGTGACCACGAAGTCACAGCAACAAAAGTAGGGAGAAAAACGAAATTCAAAGCTATTTTCTTGGTTTTTGGCTGATAGATAGAAAGGAGGTTGAGATTACTGATTATCAATTTGTTTCATTTATTAGGGCTTCAGGGGATCAGTTAAATTACTTCTTCCTAACTCCCATCCAACAACCCCAAGGTTTTCAGCCTGTGCAGACATCGCGAGATCTCTGCAGTATGATCTGAACATGTCCTGGCAGATCAAGTAAGGAGCCCACCCAG